ATCATTGCACTCTTCCCGGGAGAGGCAGATCAGTCGCTGGCTTCTGGACGACCGCTCACAGCGGCTGCTGACTGCTCACGCTGGCTGCTGTCTACACACGGTAGCCCATGGCAACCCACTGCCACAGGGGCTGCAGCCTACGCCGACGCCGGCGACTCATGGCAGCCCAGCTCCAGGTTGAGCTGTTGTTCATCATCTTAGCTGTGGAGGGCAGTGTCACTGGCCCTCATATGTGGGATCCGAACCGGGGCCCTCTGGCATCCCAAGCCAGTTCTTAACCATTGCGCCACTCGGCCGGCCCCCTCCTCCTAATTTTTAATGATCACATGTGGGCATGGGAACAGCCCATTCCATGTCTTCACCCCTCCTACCAGTCTTGAGGTGGTTTCTTATATTTGTCTGTAGTTGTAGGGCTTTGGTTCAACTAGAGTTCAGGTGATTCTCAATGATGTTTTTTCTGTAGTTTAGTTGTAATTGTTGTGGTCCTGAGAGGAGGTGAACACAGCATTTACCGACTCCACCACCTTGACCAGAATTCTATCAGAAATTTATTTCCTGTGCACATAAATCTGATGTGGGTTGGCAGAGGCTCACTGCTATTAGGTGACACAGGGCTCCAGGCTGTTTGAATCGTGTGGCTCCATGTCTTAGCATGGACTCTGTGTGTTTGTTGCTGAATGGAAGAGAAAACATGGAGGTGGCATACTGACTCTCATGTGCCTTAGCCTGGAGGTGACAAATATATTTCTACTATAGTATATCAGTGGTGGCGGTTAGTCACATGACCCTTCCTAAGTACAAGTGGACTGGGAATGCAGTTCCCCCAGGAGCCAGGGAAGAGAGCAAGACTCTGATGTGAATGAGCATTTGCAATCTCTCCCATACGCAGTTATATAGCAGATGCTTACTAAAGAGAAACTGTTGCACTTGGTTAGGACAACCCTCTATATTTCTTGGAGGAGTTTCTGAGAAGGCAAATTTACCTTGAAATTTGACACATTTTCCTAGTGCATACTATGTAACAAGGTGTTTTCAAATACTGGATCACATCTAATTTTCAAAAGAACACTATAAATCTCAGCAGGGAAAGTTCACCCTTTGATACTCCATGGTACTTTTCTGCATTAACATTTGCAATAACCGATATAATCTCAGTAGGCTGAGAATTTTCTCCTACTTTTTGGTGCATGGTAAAAAATCATAGCTACCTGCACCTAACTGAACATGTCTGGACACCTGAACAGGTGCCATTAAGCACACTGAAAAAAACAGCATTTTCATTGGGACAGATACAGACAAGATCAGTGAAGGATGGTGAGTTATTTTTTTCCTTTTTGAGGCTAGCATGTCCATGAAGGAACCATTTTCCACCTCTAAGAAGGACTTTGAGTTTTTAAGAATTCAGCCTCAGTAGATGTTTATTCACACAGTGCTATCCTGGGGCCTTCCTCATCTCTGGAGGGAGGCTTTGGTTCTTGGCCATTTAATTAAGTTCCCTGATCAGTGGATGTATTCAGTGTTCAGTATCAAATAAGACACTGCATTAAAATCCTAGTACAGTTATCAGGGTTGTTTAAAAAAACACCTCTCCAGACTCAGGGTTATAAACCAAGGACCTGTAGATTTCATGTCAAATCAGAGTCTTCCTACCAGCTGATTTGCCAGAAAACTTTAGAAGTTTGGTGGAGACATGGAGAGGGGATAAGGAGGTATCTGAACTTCACTGTCCGAAGTGAACAATGACTTGGAAGGGGCTGCTGCTATCAGAGAGGTCCACAGTGAAGGGCAGAATCTGCAAGGAGTCGGGGTGTTCTAAGTCGGAGAGGGCAGGGGATATGGGCTGTCAGTTCCACAGGGAGCAGGGTGCAGCCTCCAGAGGACAATGCAGAGAAGAGCTGGATGGCAGGTCAGGTTCCAGTCTGGACAAGAGGTGCACTGGGGAAGACCCAGGGGAAGAGAGCTGTAATGCACGCAATTCTCAGGGAGCTCTGGGGCAAGAGGCAGGAGGATCCTAGGTAAATTAAGCCCCCAGACAATCCCCAAATTGGGTTTGAATCTCATTTCCAGCTTCCTTCTTTAGGCCTGCTTCTAGAACTATGGTCAAAGGGTCCTTTTTTTCATTGCCAGAGAGACACTGTGAAGTAAGAAGAAAAATGAAATAATAGATACAAGGTCAGCCTCAGGCTTGGAGGAGTGGGAGAGTGTGGGCTTCAGACTAACTCCAATCAAGGGCCTGCTTCCACCCTGTCACTATCCAGCCATGTGAACTTTGGCACATTATTAAACCCTGTGAGTGAGCTTCAGGCTCCTCATCTGTGAAGTGAGTTTGACAAGCCCTGTCTTGTCGCATTGGTGGAATCTGTATAGTAAATATAAAGCACTTCTTGTAGTGCCTGGCACATATTATGCACCTCCTTTCTGAGGCCTGGTTGCCACACTTTCAAAAGAAAGATTTTACTTCCCTTAGACCTGATAGAATGCAGGCAAAATCCAACTGGGACTTCAGCCTACAGCTCATGCTCGAGTCTCCCAGAAATCACAGCAGAGGAGGGGTTAGGTATACACCTATCAGCAGTGGGTTCAGTGGTCCCCATGCTGGATCTCCACATTGACTCGGCACCATTCCTGGACTCCCATCTCTACTGATTGGAGGCTATAGCATTCTGATGAAATCCTAAGCTTCCAGGCATATTAAATGAAAGTCAGTGTTACCACAAGAAACCAGGACTGTTCTGAACCTCCCAGGGCTCACAACAGGGATGGGACTTCATTGGATCCTCTTGTTGTGGCTGCCTCCTTCAATCTATCTCATTCAGGTTTCTCACAGCCATTTCTATTAAACCTGATACTCCTTCATCTACTGACCTGACAACCTTCCCTTAGACGAAGGCTCTTATGCCCCTGCAAAGTCTGAAGAATGAGAGAGGGTAGGCTCTGCAATACAGCTTTGTCTGGTTCCCTTTGTGTTGGAGAGTAGATAGGACTGGTTTCCCACAGAAGCCCTCTATTCTGGGGAGCTGGTCTCCTCGGATCCCTTACATGGAGCCCTCATCTTGGTTCCTGTCACTTGGAGGAAAGGCCACCTGGTAAATTCCACATCTCTGCAAAGTCTTGAGCAGTTACTGCTCTACAGTCCTTGCAGAGAATGTGATCCTCTCCAGCAGTAATGTGAGGTGGGGAAAGTGTAGCACAAGACCGGGGATCCCAGGACTGTTGGTGGGCTGCCTGGGCAAAAAATGCATTCATCTGTTTCTTGTCTTCATCAGCCAGATGAAGATTCTCATGGAATTTCTGTTCTTGTAAATTGTGACAGGGAAGAGATTCTCTAGGATGATTCTGAGAGCCTCTGAGCTTTTCAGGTTATCTAACATTGCAAATGTAGATGATCATGATGTCACAGAATACTGTCTCTTTCATTTATTTGTGTATACATCTCAATTATTCTGGCATTCTTACTGTTCTGGCTAGGCTTTCAATGCAGTAGTTTGAACACGAGGCCATACCTTTCATCATTCAATGTTTTGAAGTCATGAGAGGAAAACTGAGATAAGAGGCACACAATGTGTCTCAGGGTAGGAGGAGAAGAACAGTGTGGGCTTACAGTGACTTAGGCCAACTGTCTAGTTCCAGCCTTGCCATTTACTAGACCCATGAATTTTGGCACTTCACCATACGCTAACTCTATGAGGCACAGGCTGTCCAGTATACAGCGAGGCTGAGAAACCCTCTCGTAGGTTCGCTGGAATATATGTAATGTACGGAAAGCGTGTCACTATGCCAGTCTTGTATAAAGACGTTAGGGAATGGCAGTTATTAATATGATTATGTTGACCTCACGTTAGCATCCACCTAGATAAAATTTTTTTTCTTTTACATCTAAGAGAAGTCAGAAATGTATACAGTGTTCTCGAACAAAAATAAAACCCCCTAAGTGGCCAAAATGCTGCTTACCGATGCAAACTAAGTAACATGCTGTCTGCAGCCCTCCTTGACTGCCCTTTGGACTTGTTCCTCACGAAGTGGTATATCTCACCCTCCTTTGTAACGACAGCTCTCCTAGAATCTGTAATTGCATGAACACATGGTGGGTCATTGACTAAACATACCCAGAGCAAGCATGAAGACTTCCAAACGATGATGCTCAATGAATGATTGTATAAAAGAAAAGCCATGAGCAAAGAGAGGTAAATTCACTCTGATTTATATTCTCAAACATTCTTGGAAAACATAAGCGTATCTAGAAATATATATATATATATATATATTTAAACTTACAGAAAGAAAGACTAAATGGAGTAAGGCAAACCAATAATTGACCAACTTTTACTTGCTCTATCTCTGTATGTCTTTTCATCATCTTTTCCCTACGATTTTAGTGTATGGCTCTTCACATTTCCGAGGATATTCCTATCCTAAACACATGTTACCTTGTTTTGGATCACAAAGTGATTCAAGAATTTTCAATGTGCATTTCAAAGACCCAAAATCTTACTCCTAAACCTGACACACAGCAATGAACGTGTGATCCATGTCATTCATAAACATACATTCTGAATCTAAATGAACTTTTGTTGAAAAGAAGAAGACACAAAAATGCAAAAACCAGATAAGACAAGATGATGGTGCATATTAGGAACACACTTTAACAGGCCTTTCAAACCAGATAGTGAAGTGTCCAACTCAGACCTCACTCAAGGTGAGATGCACAGCTGGATGTCGCCCTAGAGTCCCCACTGGACTTGGAAGTAGTGCCAGCCATGGTTGCAGCAGTGGCCCGGGATCGCTCTTCCTCATCTCTCAAAGCCTCTTCATAATGACATGGAAAGTCACTGGGGGAGGTCCCATTGATCTTGGACAAAAACTCCAGCACTTTCATCTTGCTGATCTCAGCATGGGCTCTTGAACCCCACAGGAATTCAAAGCGTGGAGGATCACTGTTGGGCACCTGCCGGTACTCTAGGTACTTTTCCTTCACCAAATTTTGGGTGATAAACTTCCTGGGATCCCCAAAGATCAGGTGCCTCTGTCCGTCATAGATGCCCCACATATTCAGGATTGCCCAGATATCCTCCTCAGGGGCGCTGTTGTGACGCAAAAAGATCACCGCCAGCAGAGGCATCAGAATCCCTCTGGTGGGTAATCGCCAGGCACTGCTCAGAGTTCCATCACCGGTATCATCTGAGTTGTAGACCAGCGTGTAGGAGTGGCTGTTGGGCCTGACTTCCTTCAGTTCTAAACCAAAGACCAGATCCAAGCTCACAGAGGCCTTCGTGAGGATCTCAGGGAGTTGCTCCCTGTACCTTTTGTGCACAATCTTCAGCATCTCTGCCTTTCTTACGGGCTCATTCATTGTAAATTTATACAGCAGGAATTGCACCAACATACCCGCTTTCCTGGTAAGGAGATCTGCGCCAGAGCTCTCCGTGGAAGTGGAGGCCTGGGAGGAATGTTTATTTTTCTTACCACGGCTCCTGGCACCTCCATCAGACCTTTTGCAGGAAACACCTGCAGCGGCGCTGGTGGTGGCTGGGACACTCGGAGGTGCCGGGAGACTGCCAGCCACAGCGGAGGTGGAGGGACCATCCCCACAATCAGGGGAGGAGGATGAACTGGCCGCCTCTTCCTCTGCAGTAGCTGCTGGGGTATCCTTAATATCTTGGGTCTGAGCTCTGTTTAGTCGGTGTCTCTCACGAGCTCGGAGCTTACTCTTCTGACCACGAGGCATGATGGCTGTGGTCCGAGAGGCAGACAGGAGTGTGGGCCAGTGGATAGGTGATTTCGTACCTGGTGGATGGAGAATGAGATGCTGGTAAGTGCCTTCAACAGGTCGATTTCATCTTGGCTTTATTAAGGCACCCTCTGCAAGTTTCCTTGCGGGTACTGCTCAAGAACCCACTAGGCTCCCGTTCTCTTGGTCAGGCTGTCCCCTAAGAATCCCATAGAAGAACCATGGCACCCTTAGAGTGAGTCTTCCCCTGCCTCCTACCAGCCCTGCCCTGGGTTTACTCAGAAGACAGCACTTGCTGGCAGGGGGTGCCCAGTGTGTTCTGGCATGTGGAGTCATCCTAGTTCACATTCAACATTGTCATGTCAACTGTGGCCAGAGTCTGGGCACCCGCTCCTCTGCTACTCTGACACTGACACCTCATAGCTTCCTTGGACCAAGGAGCAGGAACTGAAGGTGGGCCTCAGAGCACCTCCCTGCAATGGACACTTCGTGCTGAGAGCTGAGTGGAATCCTCTCTGTCCTGATTTCATTTGGATCAGCAGCTGTCAGTCAACCTCCTCACCCTGACTCCTCTTAAGGCTTGACAGCACTGACCTTTGGCTGACTGGTGGCTA